AGGAGGAGGAGGAGGAGGAGGAGGAGGAGGAGGAGGAGGAGGAAATCAAAAATAAAAGAAATGGGACTAAGAATTATTATTGTTGCTGCTGTTTTTATACTTCTCTCTATCAGGAATCCTATCTACCTGTATTCATTGCTCACAGTTTGCCAAGGTAACTTAATTACAAATACAAATTGGTAAGACTCTGTTCCATGATGCTCCTCTACAAGTAATAACACTGTATATCAGACAGCATGGCACTTTATGGACTACCAGAGACTAGTCTCTGTTCCAAGGACCTTACACTCTCAAATCTACTCAGGTTCAGCTACAAATTTTAGCTAAACATAATGCATTGGAAGAGAGAGCTTGAGGCCTAGTCTTAATGGAAAAAGTGGGTTTTGAGGAAAGTAAGCTTTGAAGGAGGAAAGTAAGCTAGCATCACACAGGTGTTTTAGGAAGCAGTTACAAGAGTATGGAGTGGGAAGGTAGAAATGATGGTGCCTTCTGAGGAAGCAAAAGTTCTTCCGACATCTGAATATGGCCAAGTTGGAAGAGCAAAGGTCACAGGCAGGGATGCAACAGGATATAAAAAATGCACTGGGCAAGGCCATAGAGCAATGCAGAACTCTAGGTGACCTATAAACAGCAGTAAAATTATTCTCTAGAAGAAAGCTTCTTGTACAAGTTCTATTGTGCTGAATAGGAGCTGCACAAAAGCTTTTCATTCAATTTTATTAGAAGTCCATATGGGCAAATTAACATTATTTCTTACGTAACTAGATACCTACACATAGTGGGAGACAAAGGAAGGGAAGTTTTACTATTTGTTTTAAGCATGTGAAGCTGTTAATACATCCTACCTCCTTGCCATCTTTTGTAGGCTAAAAATACTGCTTCATCTGATTTTCTCCATGTTTTTCTGTTGTTTTACAAATCATGAGGAGCCCCTTAAGATTCTGTAACAGAACCATTTTCTGCTTGTCAACACCTGATTAGAACTGTGATACTGAGACCTACAAAGATAATTGTGAAATTATCACCACAAACCAAAAAAACAAAAACAAAACATTGTGAGTGTGGGTGAAAAAGACATTGCATTACTTATGGATTTTCAGGTGCCATGTGTATCTATAGAATATCGTTCCTCATCTTCCATATATCAAAAATGCAGGGATAAGGTGTGCACTGAATCATTAAACAAGCCTGTACAACCTGTGACCTATCAAACCAAACATAACCCACCAGCTATGTATTTTGGGCCATCAGGTCTATCTGTTTTGGAGGTACACTGTGATGAGATGGAATATCAGTTCAATCTGCAGATACTTCCTGTGTGAAAACCACAATTAAAGGGTGGTGCTTTGCAGCTTTATAATTTCTTGCAGATTCATGATGCTGAGACAGACTTTGGCCTACAGAGAAAGGCACTGTATACTTAGAATAACAGTAGGGGTGAAGCCAGGGGTCTAGGACATAAGCAGCAGGCATCCATGACTGGAACAGCAAAGCCAAGAGTGATGGGATTGGAAGGAGCAGGTGTTGCACCAAAGAGGCATGTTGCACAAGAAAAAAATGTAGTCTAGAGAAGCACATTCAGTTGGCCATTGCTTGCAGAAGTCGGAGTGCATCTACACTCTGCACTGTCGTATCAGGTGCATACCAAGGCCATATTATGATTAGGTAAAACTAGTAGATGATAAAATGTCTAAGCTTGCTGATTGGATATTTAGAATTGTACGTCCCTTCAAGACAGAAAGTCTAACTGTCTGTGAATGATGGGAGGGTGGTGTGGAGCTTTTTTGCGGCATGAGCCAAAGCTTCACCTCACTACAGCTGGTTTTTAATAAAAGCATCGTGGATCAAGAGCCATTAGTGTCCATCTTTAGTGTCTCCCTGAGACAACTGGGATGGAGCATCAGTCCTCTCAAGCAATGTACAAATGAGCAAAAAATTTTGCAACACAGGTAAGTTTCAGATACTAGCAAAGGCAGGGCAGGACCAGAAACAAAGGCTGAATTAGGAATACGTGAGTCAAGACATGAAGAATTTGTATCACTGGAGGCAGAGGGCACCACAAAGACTTTTGCTGCTGTAGCAAAACTGAGCAAGGCTGAGAAGCTTCCTGTGGCTTCCAGCTGGTCTGCATGATCAGACTGGCCCTAATCCTGCAAGCACCTACAAGGTTAATCCTACAAGTATTTGACAGGTAAACTGGGCTGCCTACTCTATGCGGACAGCAGGAGAGCTGCATTGCAGGAACATTGGTAGTGGAATTATTGCTTCTAGCCCATTTTTCCCAAAACTGTGCCCCCCCCCCCCCGCCATTGCCCTGCCCCTGCTACAACTGCAAATGTAGGGAAACTCATCACAGGCTGCTACTGTTCCCCCAACAACTTTCACAGAGCCAATTTATTCTTTAAGTCAAAAGTGTGCCCTGAGATGATGTCATATACGAGTACAATTCTCATGTGCAGGCCTACATACTGAAAAGGAAGCAGCACTCTAAGGTCATGCACACTGGCTAGACCCACCAACAGCGGCCATGTGCAATTAGTAGATGCAAGGCACGGAGCCTAGCGATGGCCCGGCCTCTTTTTCTTGCGGAACTGCCTCCATGTGACTAAAAGGTAGCTAATCTAATAACACTGGGTTCAGACTTTCTCAGTGCAAGGTCTGAAAGTGGCTCTATCAAATAAATTTTCAATAAAAATCATTGCTTCCATAGGAATGTTCAAGAAGCAGGGCATCTATGGGAACTCCTACAGGACCAAACAGGCAAATCAAAGCAAAATAATCCTCATGGTTCTTACCTTGCAAAACACTTTTTACAATTGTTTCTGTGTGTTCAGCCAGCAGATCAGCTTTACTAATTGCTGCAAGGGAGAGATAACTGGACATGTTTCTGCACAGTTCTTTATTCCCCCTCTGGAGAAATTTCACTGCCACTGGGACAGCCAATGCCATGATGGGCGGTCGATTATAATTCTGTTGGGGAAAACAGAGGCACTCCAAAGACAAGTGTTATTACAAATCACTGCACCAATATTTCCAAGGTTTCCTTCAACATTTCTTTGTAAGAGTAGCTCTCCAACTGATCACATATTCCACAGGGTAATCTGAGATTATTAAATGTTAAATAAAATGTATAAATGCATACATTATGGAATGTCAGAGTGTTAGGATTGCAAGCCTTGAATACTGAGAAGTCAAAAGGTTTTCTGTCACTGAAGCACAGTAATTATTTGTAACAGAGGCCTATTCTGCAGTTTCTTATTGCTGCTTTCTACCAAGGAAGTGGTTATGAACTGCAGGAGTTCACAGTTAATCCTGTTAGTTTATATACCAGACAGGAGGATCATGAATGCAGTTTGTGGTTGGCCAGTTAATGAACAGTCACAGCCTAATCCAGAGCTATTCAGATCAGATGGAGTTAAGCTGGTCAGTTTAGGCAGACAAGATCTTGAAAAGAAGACAGCAATGTAGCTTGAGAAAAGAGGGATGAAATCACTAAAGGTGACAACTGCTAGGAGAGGAAGGTCCAGAAATAATTCTGGCTAGATTGTCAACAGAAGACAGTTAACTCAAGAAGCAGTGAGATATCAGGAGGTGGCAACTGAGGAAGGATCTGCGCTGAAGCCTTTTCCATGATCAAGGAACGGAGCGGTCAGGGAAAACACATTTGCAACTCTTGGGGCACATGCTAATGGATACTATGCAGTTTCTACTGGGCTGCCTCCACATGCAATTACAGGGAAGGTAGGAGGAGTTGGAAAGGTGAAATGAGCAAGGAAATGGCCTTTTAAGGTTCAATAGTTTGGTTTCATTCATTAAATTAGTGCAGGTTTGCTGATCTGAACAAATGGAAGAGTAGAGAGTTCTTCTAAGAGCAAAATAGGAAGCAAGAGAGAACATGGTGTGCTAGCTACTTTCCTCCATATTCCTCGGGATGAAGCCAGTGTAATCAGGATCCCCCTATTCCTGCATCACCCAAAAGCAATTCCCCAAAACATACTGCTCCTCTTCTATGCTTTCCCAAGAGTAAGTGCCATTAAAGTCAGTGCTATTTACTTCTGAGTTAGCACCATTGAAGCTAATGGGCTTCACATCTGAATTTAAATGCATATTGGTATTTCTCTGCTAGATGTTTTTTGGGGCAAGAGAGCAAAGGAGACAATTGGGAAGAGTTGAAAAAACATTGTAAACTTCAGTTTTTCAAAGCATATGGAGGGCTGCAGGGAGACACTGCTGCATTTAGTCTCCAGTTCACTGAGCAAGTCAGAGAGAGAGAGAGAGAGAGAGAGAGAGAGAGAGAGAGAGAGAGAGAGAGGAAAGCAACTGAAGGCTGATTGGCCTCAACTTCTTCAAAGAATTGGTGCCATTTTGTTTAAAACTGATGAAATACTCCCTGTTGTAGCGCCACCTTGCACCCAGTCCCCTGAAGCCACCTCTGCTTCCCACAAAACAGTATTGCGAGTTTAGCACATGGTGAAATGTATAGAAAACAGGCAACTGATGGAAAAAAGGGTATTCTCAGTGGTTGTGCCTTAACTCTGGAATAGGTTCCCCAGAGAGGTGTGGCTGGTGGCATCGCTGCTATCATTTCAGCATCAGGCCAAGACATTTCTCTTCTCCAACTATTTTAACAGTTGATTTTAATGGTAATTTTTATTTTAACTTGACCCTGGTTTATAGTTTTATTTTAGTTTGTTTTATTTATTTAAAATAGTTTTTGACATTTTTATGTAATCTTAATTTGTTTGGTTATTTTTTGTGTAATTGATTCTTTGGGGTTTTTTAGTAGTATTAATGCTAGAATTTATGTTGTTTTAATCATTGGAAGCAGCTCAGGGAGCTTATCTATGAGCTACTGTGGTGGCATACAAAATGGAAATAACTATGATATAACTAGCCTGAAGAAACCAAAGCTAGCTTGGAATAAGCATCCAGCAATACACCAGTGAGTCAGGGTGGATTAAAATGGTAAAGACAAGTAACGAGGGCAAGGACCTATGCCCAGAACACTAGATGGTCAACTAAGTACCATCAAAACAGAAGAAAAAATCTTTCACTTATGATAGTTTGCACCTTAGGCATTTAATGAACACACACACACACACACACTTTCTGGGTCAGTTTCATGCCTTAAGGAGTAGCTTCCTAATCAGTTATTCACTAGCTCTAGTTCCATGCTTTGATGCACTCTTGGATGTGCAATGCATTTTGTTTGTCTAGCTGTTTCCTTCATGCTTTTCTAGCCTTGCAACTTGCTTTCCAAGCTTAATGTGTCAGTCACTGTGAAAATGAGTGCATCACCAGGTATGCATTTGACGTGACATTGCGCCATTGAAATTGGTTCAATAAGAGTGGTGGTGATACAGCTTGATACTGATAGTGATGGCAGCTATGCAGCCAACATCTCCAGCATCTCCACCCTGAGTACTCTATTTCCCCCTTCATAGTGTGCCATAATAGTTACTCTAAGGCCTGACATCAAACAGTTGTGCATTTAGCTAGTGACAGAGCTTGGAAAATTTACACCATAATGGCATCAGAACTGGGGGGAGATCAAATGGGAGGCTATATGCAGTAGCCCAGCATTATCTGGGAGCCAGTGTGGTGTGGTGGTTTAGAGTCTGGACTGGGACTCAGAGGGTCTGGGTTCTAGTCCCCACTCAGCCATGGAGCCAACTGGGTGACTTTGGGCCAGTCACAGACTCTCAAGCCCAACCTACCTCACAGGGTTGTTGTTGTGGGGATAAGATGGAGAAAGAGAGATGATGTAAGCTGCCTTGAGCCCTTTGTAGGAAAAAGGCAGGACATAAATCGCAATATAAATAATAAATAAATAAATATCTGATTGCAGCCAAGTAGGCCAACCAGGACTGGCTGACACAGTGGACCCACCAGAAGATGCTACCTTGGGTCTTCTCAAACAGGGAGATGCTGCCTTGCTTTGGGAAATCCAGCACAATTCTCTCTGAGTTGTGACTAGTACCTAGGGCTTGATAGAACATGAAATGTTGAGGAGCACCTGAGAGTGGTAAGGCAATGTCGTAAGGTACAGCCAACACCAGAAGACTTGAGATAAAAACAAACAGGCCACCTTTTGAGTTAAAATGAAGTACATCAAGAAAGCTTGTGAATCTGGGTGCATTCTGAATCAAAGTAAGGACTGTTAACCACTGGCCATGAAATGTGTTGTCTGTTAAAGCACTGATCTTTCTTTGCTCTTCATGGTCCATTCTTACCTGTAAAATGCAGCTCATAATATCAGATGCTATCTTTGCATGTGGCGTGTCTTCATCTTTTCCGGAAGGTTTCAGATTGTGCTCTAGGCAAGATTCCCAAAGAGCAACAAGTGCTTTCCCATGTTTCTCTATGGATTCTGTCTCCCTGATGGCTGTGGTGATGCGAGTGATACAGATCTCCACAACTGCCTGATCGTTGTCATTGGTTTGGTAGTCCTGATTGAGACCAAATAGTTTAAGCTGCATATGGGACTCAAAAGTCATCAGAATGAACCAAGTAGGGTTAATTCCTTCCCAGTGATCATATAAACTGAGGCTCTAGGTAGAATGCTGAATTTATGTCAGTTTATCATTAAATATATATATATAGAGAGAGGGAGACCAAAGTATTTGTGAGCACTGCTTTTCAAGACTGGGACTATGGATGGATGTACTCCCAACAAAACCTTTAAAGAAGGATACAGCCAGTGCCGTTCTGTGAATTAACGGGCTCCAGCTGGTCCAGATATTACTGAAGTCCTGGATGTAAATATTGTAGAAACAAGCCTGGAAACATGAAGTGTGGAGAAAATCTTCCAACTGGATAGAGAACACTGCCACTCATATAGGAATCCAGCCATTCCTTGGCTGCCAGTGATGGGGGAATTTCCAGTTTGATAGTGGCCCTGCTCTTAACTGATAATTTGAAACCCTAAGTAATCAGAGGGAAACAAATGTCCAGGATAGGAAGGAAGAGTTCCTCTCTGCAGCATTCTGTCTGTTCCATTGTGAACAACGCTGTCGTGATAATTGGAGTCACAAATAATAAAGTCACAAATAATAACGCAAGAAAATAATTTGATTCTTTTATCTCCATAGCTTTGCATTTTAGTACAAAACCTGAACTTAGCACAATCAAAAACTCATTAAAGGTGTTGCCTGGTTTTACTATTATGCTCACCTGCTATTTATCAGTCTTCACTTAGGACAGGACTATGGATATGTGGTTTAACTGCCTTGCTAGATCAGACCAGAAGTCTATCTAGTCCAGAACTCTACCTCCAACTTTGTCCTGATTCTCATGGGAAGTTAACAGAGCATGGCAAGAAAAATCTGTTCTTCCAGTCCATGAGAATTAAAAGCATCCTGTTTCTGAACATGGCAGTTCCATTTTTAGCACCGTGGCTAATAATAATTGACGAACTATTGTCTGTAAATTTATCTGCTCATTAAAAAATTCAGTCATGTTTGTGTCCATCATGCTGTTGTACAACAATGACATTTCGTATAGATTGGCTACACACTGCATAAAAAAGCACTTTGTTTTGCCCAGACTTGTAACTGCCAATCAATCTGCATAGATGGCTCCAAGCTCTGGACTATGTCCACACCATTTATGTTATTCCTGTCTTTTGAATTTTTCCACAAGTTTAAGAAGTCCCAATTCCTCACACATCCCTTTGAAGGCATGGCAGTTTGATAATTGCATTCATTCTTTTGTTCATGATTTCTTGTTTGAGCTGTGGGATGTTTAGGAATACTGATAACTACAATTTTTGAGACTCTGTTGTTATCTGTGGAAAAATACTTACATATTTAAGAGTCTGAATGTGAAAATAATGGAAAGGTGCTTGACTCCAGATATGCAACTCTGATGCCCTCTAGTGGAAACTAACCTGTAAATACTGGTTTTTAATTCTTTAATAGTTTAAATGCTATGTACTACATTAAAATAAGTGTTTGGTGCAGCATAGGAAAAAAATGCACTGGTGTAAACAAACTCTGAATTACCTTAGGTTTACAAAAACCTGACAAAAGTCAGATTTTTGAAAGATGAAATGCACTATTAGAGATAACATTTTCTTGCTTTCAAAAGAAAAGGAATTCAGGTAGGAATCTAGGGAGGGATTTTTGGTGAGTAGCTATTCTTGGAACAGTTATTTACACATAAACTTCTAAGCTGAATGAAGAACTGCTCTTCATTAACATCATTTTGATATCCTTTAATAACAATGAAGATGCACAATATTTTAAAAATACTTCATAGATGAAGAAAGCAATAATGTAATGACATAAAACCAGAATGAAAGAGTTCAGGGCAGAATATAAATACTTCATATTACATAATCAGCCAGTGCATTTTTCAGCTAGAATTTTAGCATACTGTCTGCAGAATTTTCTCTGAAACTAAATTATAGAGTACATAGATCTGACTGAGGGAAAGATTCATATATCAGCCCCTGGACTGTGAAGCATATTTCTTCTTCTGCAATACTTAATGAAACAGGTCAATTCACAGACAGGAACCAATAATCCCACTTCTTTTCAAGTATCTCACCTCAAACATTTTTATGCTACTTTGAAGCCAACAAACGTGCAAATCAATTTTTCTTCCTCCCACTTCAGGCACCGGATGGCTGGTGATTTATTCTTATGATAAATCCTGCAAACCTGCCCATATTTGTCCCCATTTTACAGACAGAAAATTGGGGCTGAAATTGCATATTTTCTGTATGGATATGTGATTGTGTGTTCAGTTTCTGAGTGTTCAGCCCTCTAAAATATTCACATTGTTGAATCTATATCATCCCTTTAATCTAATGAACAAACAGGAAGCATTGGAAATTTACTTACTGGAGATGAGCTAATTATTTTGATTTGCTCAAGAGCTTCTGACAGACATCCTTCTATTTCAGAGTCATCTAAAGAAAACAGGTCTCCTGCACGTGAAAGATCCTTTTGTCCCAAAACAAGTCCAAAGAGATGATGCATAGCTTTCAGTGTAGCAAGTTCTTCAGAGAAAATTAATGAGACACAAATCCATAATCCAGAAGGTGTCCTTTTTCAATGATTTGTAGAAGCTTTATATATATTGAAACTTCTTCTGCCATAATCTGAGAGGAATAGATTAAAAAGAATGTAGATATCCAAATAAATAAGAACAGTGATTACCTTGCAAGCTATTACAGTTTTAGCAGAAAAAAAATCTAGGCTCATACAAAATAGAAAAACAATATTGTATTTTAATATCCTACTGCAAAAGCTATTTGAAATATGCCAAACTGCAATACCATACAAATAGTGCAGCAAAAACGAGAACTATTCACCATCAAGTTTAACAAATATTTTACTGCCTGATCTCTTGTAGGCCAGTACTATTTTTTTTCCATAAGTATGAAGAATTGGACTCTGGCCTACAAAAAATATGCCACAATAGATAAAAGTTTGTCTTTAACATGAGACTATTATTGTTAATATACTAATTTATTTATTGTAGCTTATTTCCTTCAGTTTTGATCCAGGAATGCTTCCAAGTAGACTTTCAAGATGCATTTGTTCTTTCTTATTTATAAAGCTGTATTTATAGGCTAATTTTCACATTACTTTTGAATACATAGAGAAGTAATGGAGCGCTATAAAAGCAGCAAGACACAACATCCCACATGCAGAAAATTGGCATATGAGTAAGGTGAGAAAGCCAACATATCCTATTGGGTGCACTAATTCACTTTATGCAACACATTTTTATATGATGGAGCATTCCAAAATACAACCCCACTCCTGCCTCACACACATTCTGATGTGAAACAGTCTATGTAAGACTCCAATGTGTAACTTTCCTGACCATGTAGATTAGCTCTCCATGAATATGGAACTCAAGGGATGTGGGTGGTCTGCCTTCTCTGCATGCGATGGCAATTCTGGGTGGAGAATCAGGGCAGTAGACCCACTCTGACTTTTTCTCTAAATTTTAAAGATCCTGAACCCTATCCCCAGAACAGGTTTGATACCATAGATAGCTCCTTAAAAGCGCCGACTACAACCGAGAATAGATACAGTTCCCCTTGGCAATGGAGCCACTAGCCTCCTGGACAATTCCCCTAAAGACAAACACCTTGCAGCCAGAATGGCTTTGATTTTCCTTTAAAATGGCCTTGTCCAACCTGGTGCCTTGCACATGCATTGGACTACATCTCCCATCACTCCATCCCATGTGACCAGTGCTGACTGAGGAAGGTGGCACTGCAAGCCCAACATATCTGGAGGCTATCAGCTTGAAAAAAGCTGAGATAGTTTATAGGTATATAAAGTCAAGCTGGCAAGTGAATGTTTTGTATTGATTGTAACCCTACTTATGTGGAATTATTTATTATTGATTGATGTATTACAAGGATTTAATAACTTCCTCTTCTGCCTGAAGGCTGCCAGAGCAGCATACATAATTAAAATGACAATGATAATAAAAGCATTAAGAAAACTAGAACAGTGGAAGTAACTTAAGAACAGAGTAAAACTAAAATATACCAGTTTACATGGAGATAAGTACACGAGGGGGTGCAAAGTTAGAAATAATAGCTCTTATTTCAAGGCATCTCATCATAGTGGGGAAAACTGACTTGGAGACCTGGGTAGCTCTGCAGGTTCCCATAACTGGCATTTTAAAAGCTCTTCCCACTCCTTCCTCTTTTATATGTATTTGATGTTAAACCAGCCTTAGACTCAACTGCTCCTCTGAAGAACGCCTTGAAATAGAGGACTGTCCTTCATAAAGTAAGATCCTAGCCACTCTAAATCAGGTACCTGACAGCATGCCTTGCCCTGCATCAACTTACCTGAATATTAAGACCTCCTTAGAAGCACCTTCTCTGGATTCTCCTATCCTCAGCTGATGGGAGGTGGAAACCATGAAGAGTATCGTTTGATTCTAGTACCCAGTTTATATAAGAACCTAAGAGGAGCCCTGCTGGCTGAGACTGAAGGCTGGCCTAGCCCAGCACCCTGTTTCTCACAGTGGCCAACCAGATGCTCCTGGGAAGTCCAGAAACAGGACACGGGAGTCCTCCAGCAGGTGATTCTTGGAGAAACATTATTTCTGATTGTAGAGCTGAGATATAGACATTATGTTTTGTTATTGTTGACAGTTCTTTCTGCTACACATATGTGCCATTCACTTTAAAGTTATCTAAGTTGGTGGCCATCACTGTATCTTCTTGTACTGAATTCCACTGTTTAGCTACAGTCTTCAAAATGGTCTCCCTAGAAAGACTGTGAGAGATAACTTTCTGGTGGCAAGTTCTGTATTTTTCCTGTAGCTTTTGGCCTGGCTGGTTTATATTCTGTTTTGTGTTACTTCCACTGTTCCTTTTTTCTAAATGCTTTTGTTGTTATTGTTATTTTAATTACATATGTTGTTCTGGGAGCCTTTGAGCTAAAGAGCTGGTTATTAAATTTTTGTAATAAAGTGATCAATAATAAATATTTCCACATAGGAAGAGCTATGGTCAATACAAAACATTTACTTACTGGCCTGATTTTATCGATCTATAGGTTATCTCAGCTTTCCCCAACACAGTGGCCTCCAGATACGTTTGACCAGCATTTCCTTCATCCTCGATCAGCAAATGGGATGGGGAAAATGGGAATTGTAGTCCAACACATCTCTGGGGCATCAGGTTAGGGAAGGCTGGATTATCTTGACAAGGTTTCTCACTGACTTTCCAAAACAAAATGGAAGTTAAAGGATCTGTTCTTCCTGTTTTCATGTTCAGGGTGAGCTATGCAAGAGGTACGCCAATAACTAATACAGCAAAGATAATATAAATGCTCCTTTCACATATTATACAAGGACATTGGAACGAAGGGAAGTAAGGTGGCTTTGCAAACACTCATGAGAAATAGGCAGCACTCATTATAAAACAAAGGTGCTTTAGTACAAAGAGGCTAAAAAGACACTTAAAATGTGCAAATCACTGGCAAGAGGCCAAGACTTGCAACTTTTGCAACAGAAAGTTTATTTTCGGTCACCTCAGGGTGTCACAGGTATTTTAGAAGTCATCAATGCCTGTGTACACCATTCATCCTATAATACATAGGTAATGTGAGAGAATTAGGCTGCAGTAGAATTTCCTTTAGTATTAGAACATAACAGTTAGTAGTTATGAGACTGTATCATCTTGTAAACTTTATTTTACATGGCAAACATTGGGAATACCGGCGCAAGGAGCAGTTATGAAAACATGCTATGTGATCTGTGCATTGATTTGTTTGCTTACTGTACTTTAAACTGACCATTAACTCAAGTTCTTTAGGCAGTTTACATTACAACATAAAATACCACATTACGAGAAACAAAGAAGCAAACAAAAAATAAGATTGGCCTAGAATAAACCCAAGTTGATAAATAGCAGCAAAGTAAAATATAGAAAGTACTCTTCAATGTGCCTGAGAAAATAGACACTTCTTTATCTGATGCCAGAAATATGGTAGCACAGGAGACATTCTGGTGAGAGCATTCCAGTACCACCACTGAAAAAGGCCTTGGTTCTTGTAGCCACCCTCGTCAAGATATTGGAACTCAGATGATCTTAATTCCAAGCAGGTAAATATGAGAGGCAACATTTCTTCGGAAAACTTCTTCCAAAGACAAATATAGCCTGGTTTCGACTTCTCAAGCCACACTTTTCCCCACTAGTTATCAACATAACAACTCTGTGTTGTAGGAACTAGCAGGTATAGAAAAGATCCCGCTCATCAGAAAATTCTAGCTCTACACAAAGCTGAGATGAGCAACTAAGTGGGAAAAAAGACAAAACCAAAACGAGGACTTAAGTGCAGAATACCTGACACATGCTTATCCCTGATGTTACGCCAGCCCTGTAATTTGGAAAATTTGGTCTCATTCCTAGATTTACTCACATGCATGCATGTGCCCCCTCAAAAATGAACAAGGAAAAGCCCATTGCAAGGGACTGGAGTTGCCGAATCAGCAATAACTGATTATTATTTGAAGCATTTTAATGCTGCTATTTGACCCAAACAGCTTCCAGAATTATTAAACATGCTGCTGGACCTGTTTACCCAGACCTTCTCTGAAGAGGCCTTCTGAAATGTGTATGAGTGGAAGCTACCTTGGTAATTGAGCTATGCTGCTTTTATGAACAACTGTTTCAAGACAGGTTGTGTTCTGCATTTACACAACACACAGAGCTAATGTGGCTTTGAAACTATGGTGGCTTAATATGCTTAAGCCAAACCTGGCACACATGCATCCAGGGTGGTTTCTTTGTGGCTACAAAGCCACTTCAGTAAGCCATGACATTTTATAGGATTTTGTAGCCATCCTTGGGCCTGCTCTATCATCCAAATTCAGATATAGCACACCCAGATAAAGCCCAAAGTCTAGAGAAGTGCTTTGCAAGAACTGCAGAATGTCTTGCTGCTTTGGCCAAAGGGCTCTGATGATAGTCAGCCAAAGTCATCAGCTTCTCAGCTACTATGTACTTCTTTCCCAAATGGGGTTCATTGGGTTTCCCTTGGAAGAGGCCCAGTAGAACCTAGTCCGTGATTACAGCAGCAGGTGGTGAGGGGGAGTGTTCTCCTGAGACTCCTCAGGAAGTGGCCCAGGAAAATGTGCCTCAGTTGCTCACTACAGTGTCCTATGAAAGGACACACCTCTCCTCCTGCAAAGTACTTAGCAGGTTATCTGAGTGTGGTGCTTCAGAGTAGAAGCAAAGAAGCTTGAGCTACAACCCCAAGCTGAATAAGTGTGGAATTGTCCATCGGAATAGGACAAGCTGATGCCACGGGCATATCCCTGGACCCTGTTCTAAATGTGACATCTGTACTTTGATTTTATTGGCAAAATATTTAGTAAATTGATCAGAGGGAACCATTAAATTTCCTTCCCCTCCATCCCTGAGTTCAGACATAACCGTCCCTTCACCACGCAAAGCTGAGCTGAAGCAGTAGAAATGGGAAAGTGGGGGGGGGGGGGTTGCATTGACACAGAACAGGTTTTCTTGCCCGTGTCCCCAAAAACCAGAGAGTTGGGTTCCAGTGATGGGAAGGGTGCCAGGAAGTGACTGTCAGTTGCCCAGAGCATTTCCCCATTCTAGGGATCAGCTAGGGCTTCACAAGAACCACCTGATGAGGCAACAGAAAAACTGCAGTTAGAGCCATCAGAAAATGACTAATACCCACCAGTCTCTGAAGGCAGATCATCCTAACCGACCTTCCACCCCTACAGATGCAAGGGGTGCCCTAGGATGTGGACAGGATCCTTGGAGAGGTGAGGCCAACCACTCATGCGCTGGATCCTTGCATTTCCAGGCTCATTCTGGCCACCAGCAGTAAGTCGAGGACTGGCTGAGTGAGAAAAGGCAATGGTGCTTTATGGCGCTTCTGCCTTGCCTAAAGGAGATGGTGATAAGGCTTTTATTTGAATTCTGACTCAGATCATATCCAGCTGCTCTTCAGCATTTCATTCCTAGCCAAGAAATTGGAGCATGAGGTGACTTTTCAGCTTCAGGGATTGCTAGATGAGATTGCTTATCTAGATCTAACACCTTCAGGCCTGGTTATGGAACCAGACTGCTTTCATCACCTTGGGTGGATAATATGCCAGGAACTGGACTGTCCCTACAGGACTGTTGGCAGCACTTAGTACCAGTATCATGGCGTTCTCCAGTAGCATCTGTCTGAGCAGGGAGGTGCTGCCATTTTCCCCTCAATTGTTATGTTTTGGGGGTTTAAAATGAATTGTTTTAATCCATTTTTCCATTTCTACTGCTTCAGTTAAAAAAAAAAAGCTTGAGTGCCATTTTTGGAAGAAGGGTACAAATAAAAGAATAACATAAATAATTCTAAGACCCACAACAAAAGAGTTATTTCAGATTCTTCTGCCTCCAGCTCATGATCATATATTTAATTTGAAATATCAACTAACTTAAATGAACAGCACTTGCTGTGTGACATTTAAATGAGTTACAAAAGCATAACTCTGCTAGAAATGTTTTTCAGGATATATTGGAAAGCATGGATTATCCTGCTGATGAGTGAGGAAATGAGATGTTAACACAGAAGCAAAATCATTCTCTTATCTAGCCTGAGCTTTAGTGACAGAGTGGCATCATGCAGGGGTACACGCAGATGAAGCATTACCTAATGGAGAAGATGGGTCAGGTCCATGTCCATTTTGCATCTGTTCCATACTATGCAATTTTCACATTACCCTGCAACATTATTTAAAACCTGAACAAATAGTCACATACAAATACATATTATGAGCTTATTTTTCACAGCATGTTCATTTATAAATGCATTTTATCTCAGTGCTTGCACTGATCAAAGTAACATACCCTGAAAGATGCAATTCAAAACCTATTTTAGCCCTTGTTTGAGCTGAGAATTGCACTGCAAAATCCACTGAACTGCGAACTATGTTCTAATCTGCCTGTTAGTTTGGGAGGCACGCATCAGTTCAGTTCACATCAGAAAAACTGAATTCCTCAAGCGTGCCTACTATGTAGACACTGCTGCATAATAACTGAGCGGAAAAGTCCTTGTCCACTAACTGGTGTGTGTATGCACCAGCGGAGGGGACTGCAGTGGCAGGGTCTGCAAAGCACATCCTCCCCTGTTAGTGGGGCAAACAGGCAACAGACGTGCATACCAATGACAGCCGTAGCACCTGTGGGACTCTTGTGGTCGCTGCCTGGGTATGTAGCCCGAACTAAATATCCCCAGACAACCACAGATGAATTCTTTTCCCTGTCCTCCTGTTTACTCTGTAATAGTGGGCAGGCACTATGGTTTTCCCCCCTACAGGGGTACTTTGAGATCTTGAAAATATCCAGGGCCCAGGCAGGAAGAGTCAGGAAAGGGGGCAGCAGGAGGTGAAGCACATGTGGCAAAAAGCCCCCCAGTCCAATCTCCCCGAACATCCAGGGCTGCTGTAGCTTTCTTCCAGCAAGTGCCATGCACAGGAGGGGAGCAGAGGCTCTCCCAGAGCACTGGGGTGCCAAATGAAAAATTCAGAGCCCCAGCCCTAGTGGGCTGGTTCCTAACGCCACCTCTGCCCCCTACACGCATAGGGCATTGACTGCGCATGCTTCAGGCTAGACAAACTATGGTGAAAACTATCACAGCAAACTCCTGTAGATACAAAGAATAGGTTAGCAGCAACTGGACAATGTCTACAGCACAAGATTTTGTTTTAATGTCAAGAGTAGCCATGTAGGCCTGGGGCATCTCGGGGCATCATCTAGCAATCTACCATGACAATATTTTAAACTCAATAAACAATAAAGAACAACTCCCTGTATTTTACAGTTTTAACATATTTTGAAAACCAGTTTGTTTGTTTTTCCTGGAACATTATATACTCACACTACAGTAACAGAGAGTAAGCCATCAGACTTCCTACAAGCAGATACCTTGAGTGTAGAATTAAAATTAGTGGCAAATGTACGTTCTTCCACCAAGGTTCTAAGTCAGAACAAATAGGTGGTTTGCATATTATGGCAAGGCCTGCATGTTACTGCCAGGAGAGCCAGTGTGGTGTAGTGGTGAAGAGCACGGAGCTGGGACTCAGGCGATCTGGGTTCCAGTCCCTGCTCAGCCATGGAGCTCACTGGGTGACAGCTGACTTCACAGGTCTGTTGTGGGGATCAGACTGAGTGCAGGAGGAGGAGTATGATATGAGCTGCTCTGAGTTCAGTGTAAAAAAAAAAGGTGGGATGTGAATCAAACAAATAAATATACTATAGCTTAATGGGAGCATCAACCCCAGTCATGGACAGCTTCAGCCTCAGGAAGCAGTGCAGAAGTGACCTGACAGGTGTCCGTATAATTCCAGGAGGAGCGTAGGGCCAGCACAGGATTCACAGCCTGGATGTGCAATGAAGCAGACCTTGGTAACAGAAAGGTTCTAATGCACACTGGCATCAGAGGGCAGCACACATTCTTTTTGGCCTGTTACTGGGCTGGGCATGGAATCCCCTGCAAAGCCAGTTTTCATGCATGTTCTTATAGAGTGGTTGAGGTGCCATAGGCAGCTACAAATAACAAATAGTCAGGCCTATAATCTCGCCTGTCTTCTCCTGCCTGGCTTAGCTGACTCCAAGGCACTAGAGACTGAATAAGTAGTTTGCCCTAGAATGGCATTAACTTATCCCCTTCACTTAGCCTGTGGGGGGGGGGGGAGAGAATGACACACATTCTGTGGACTAATTCTCACCCTCTGTCCATTCACCCTTGTTTTCAATAATCTGCATAGGGCTCCTGCTACAAATATCTGAAGCACAATAGAACATCTTATTTTACTTTTCTATGGAAGTTTAAGGCACTTTTAAATGCTATCATGCTTTCCACATTCATTTTCCTGTGCAGCTTTGATACTGTGCAAATGCCTACATTATTTTTAAAGAAAACAGGCTCCCACAGGGCAGACAGGTTGGCATTTCTATAAATTCTGACAGGCACCATGAACAGGTCAATTCCAATGTACAGTTCTGTAGTCAATGCACTTCAATCCAGGCATGCAAATCGTTGATATAAATCTCAAAATGTACAGCTAAATGCCTTTTCCTGACTGATCCCACTAAAAACATCCAAACTCTGCTTCTCAGCTGAAATGCCATTTTAATTGCAAAACTTTAAGAGTGAAATAGTTTTGCATTGAACCAGCTCCTACTATTCATTTCAATGACAGTTTTAACACCATGTCTTGTCAATTCTAATTATTTAGAGAGCATGCAGAGCACAACAGTGACAAGAAATGCCTCTCTGTATAACAACATGAAGAGCATTTATTATTTTTCCTGCCATAATATGGACACTTGTCATCCACTCCCATTAAAAAACTCACACCAAAGTGTTATCTGCAAATGATTATACAACTTGAATGTAACAAACACAGGATAGCAGTAAAATAAGAATTAGATAATAAACCAAAGCACACTGAGAAGTCTAAATTCTCTGACCTATAGGTCAAATACAGAGTCAAGGAATGAAAAAATATCCTGAAAATAAGTTTAGACTATTGGACGGTATAGAAACAAACACACAGCACTATTCTCATGGCATGAGAATAACTAGGTTCAAAACAGAGGTGCTTTTCCAGAATTGCTGATCTTGCCTTAAAAAGGAATCCCACACAACTATGCACAAATTCAAGCCAACACTTTACCTGATCATGACTCCATAATGATACTCACAGGTGTTTGGGTCTGTTGGAGGGGAGGGGTTGCAGTTACCAAGTGATGAATTTTGAGACGGGGTTGATAGGTAGCTTTGCCTGGTTGTTGCAACAGTCCAACATCCAAAGGCACAACAAGTGGAAAGTTATGGAATCTACTGTTAATGCAGTGAACCTGAAACTGTTAATTACATGGCCAGGAATAAGGAATTTGTGGAATGCAGACTAAAGCAGCCTAAAAGTTACCAAGGGCTTTGTCAGGTGACCAGAAAAAGCCTAAAAGCAGAGTGGCCTTATCTCTGAATGAAAGCCTCTGTTCCAGAGACAAAATCCAAAAAAGAAAAAAAGAAAAAAGAAAAAAAGAAAAGTCTGTTCAACTTCAGCCTGTTGTTTTTAGTGGAGAAAAGAGAGCTCTTTCTCAGTGAAAAACTATCCTCTCCTGGGAAGAGACCCCAAGTGAGTTTGCAAAGGGGTGTGTGTGTTTCTTTGAAAGAGAGCAAATGAATGAAACTACTATGGAGAAGACGTTTTTTCTCCAAAGAATAAAACTGCTCATGAATACAAAGTGGGCCAGGAGCCATCTGTAGACGTCTAGGTCAAATTATCGTAAACACCTCCTCAGTACCTTTGTGCACTTGAATTAGAGTGTTTCATCAAGCATATGCACCAAGAGGGTGTCTACTTGCAGATTTCTAACTGGTTTAATTTTGATTCCTGTGTCAGAGGGTTCCTTGGAACTGTAGTCCTGGGAAGGGAATGGCTTTCTCTAGAAGAGAAGTTTCAGTGCCATCCTCAATTCACAATTTCCAGAATTCTTTGGGAAAAGCTGTGGCAACTAAACAACTCTCAAACCAAAGTAGGTAAGTAGGGTGGGCATTTCCCAAAGCCATTTTCCAGAAGCTTTCCTGCTTGCTCTGGCTATATCAGAACATTGTGCATAGGATTGTAGCCTTAAGATGCTTTTGGTTGTTGTTTTTTTAAACCAGCATGCTACTGACTGAGGCTTGCCAACTTTTGATTTCAAAAATTCTGGTGTCAAATGACATTAATGGATCGTACCTAGGACCATTTAGAGGAAATGGAAAGAGCCTAAAAGGCAGGTAGACAGGACCTCAAACGCACCAGTCAAATCCAGGATTCACCAACAGTCATGCCACTTCCCCTGACTGCTAGGCAGTTTCCTGGCTTTGCAGATATTTGCCTCCATTCGACAAGGTTGAAATGTCATTGAAACATTCAGTTGCTGGCAGTAAAAGGTGCAAGCCAAAATGACCCTACCTCATTTTGTCATCATACCTACTCACCACTGAAATGTGACCCCCCCAAAAAAAACTTCTCCAAGATTTAAAGTGACCTTTGAGCTGCAAGTGGTTCCCTAAACCTGCCCTAAAAGGAGATCCAAGCATTTATAGTAGAAGCTTTCCCCCTGTGATTGGTTGTGGTACGTACCATGTAGTGTAGTTATCTCTTGGGGCCTAGTATGGTGCCAAGGAGCTGAACAAGGAGGGCTATGTGCAGAGCTGGCATCAAGGGCAGCATGATCAGGTACCATACGAAGGCCCACACCCCAGCTATCCCCCACGGAGCACAGTCCCCTGGAACTGTGCCCCCTCTTCACCATGGCAACCTACTTGTTTTCCTGCTTCTCACTCTGGCTGGACGATGGCGGTGGTGGGGAGAAGGAACAGTAGAAGCCACGGCCTGCTCAAGCACACAAGTGGTGGCGAGGGCATGAAAGTGGATGAGGAGCAACAGTAGCAGTGGCAACAGCAGTGAGAACTAGGCTCGGAGGGTGAGAAGACCCACTGAGAGGGTCTTGGCCAAGGGTGCTCATTCGGCTAGCCCTGGTTTTGTGGGAAAGCAATCCTCCAGGCCACTGCTGTGGCTACTACCAAGGTGCTATGATGCTCTACCACCAGCTAGCCCACTCAGTTCAACAGAACCTGTTGGGCAGCAGGCTATGAAAGAAGCGCCCCGTACAGGGTATCTCTCAGCTGTGTGCAAAAGGGTGAGCTTGGGCCAAACCCAGCAACC